ATATAATGGGCTGCAATTTCTCCTGTTTGTACTTTCAAGTAGGGTTTGCCAAATAGTTCCAATTTCATATGTTCTAATGTAAATTTTTCTAATTTTTTTATCGAGTATTCTGTCAGTGTTCAAGTTATTAATGTTGGTTCTAAAATGTTATTTACATTTAGTACAATCAAATTCCGTCACTTTGTAAGGGATTTGTTATTGTTATAAATACTTCCTTATAGGTGGTTGCTTGGGTTTTGTGGGTCTCGTCTTTTCTTATATTTATTGAAACTCCAATGGCTTTTATATTAATTTTTATTTTAAATCGAACACACGTACATATTTGCTTCATGTAGAATGACAGAAGACAAACTTAACCATAGACAGTGTCACAGATAACATATAACAGTGGTGTTTTGGATAATCTTTGTAGCGTATCCATTGCTACAATGGACTAAAGCATTAGGCATCCTAATATGTGGGATAAACGCTCCATTCGAGTATAGCATCACCTGAAAATTGATTCACAAGTTAACTCTTTATTTGGTCCGTGGTTTTACATTTATCTGGCAATCTAAGTTGGTATTACTTATCTAAATTTTAGTTGATTTGGTTTGCAAAATTATCTATTAAATGTAGGTAATAATAGAATGTCTAGGCCTTCATTACTCGTATGTATAATTTATAAGTGTATACTGACTACATTAGCACTGCCATTGATAATGCTAAAATTGTGTTTTTTTTAAATTGCCAAACGTGACGATGTAGAGTATGGTACTATCGTTAAGATAGGATTTTTTTGAACATGTATGGTGACGCATCCCATGATTCGTAAAACTTGTTACTTGGAGCGGGCTAGAAGTTGTTATTTTTTAAATTATGTGTTACTTGTTCATTATTAGGTGTTGACAATTTAACATTTTCACAATTGTAGTCGGAAATTTTCGTCAATTTTTATTATGATGTTTATAAATTTTAGTTTGAGCAAGCAAAATGTCCATTATATCCGACATAATACCGCTAGGATGTTACCAATTGAAGATTTTTGAGGAACAATAGGAGTGTTATTTTCAGATGGCAGGTTACCTTCTGTGGTTTGGTTAATTACGAAAACTAACTTATCAACATAGTAGCAAACTAAATTACCAACATTCAGGAAAACCTCTATACATAGAAACTACATTAAGATTACTGGACAATATCCTAATAATTGATTAGGAGTCCAAATAGACGGATGTAGTAAATTAGATTTCACAAACAAAATGGAATTTAGTATGTTTTGAAAGATAGAGCCAAGAGGGTAGAACGTAAAATATTGAAAACATTATCAATTTTAAACATTTGAGATATATTTATTTCATGTCAAGATTGATTAACACGTTGACTGCACGGGTGTTTTAATGTTTTCGTCAGTGCCTCTCTTCTTTTTCCCAGTATCTCTTAGTTTATCGTCATGGTCTGCAATTAGTCAACATTAAAACATTTCTTTTATCAACCCATTTCACACACCCATATTGTTCATTTTTCTAATAATCCCTTTTTTTATTTTCGCATTAACAACTTTCTTTGGCAAATATTTTCTTCTTAAGTTTAAAGGTTCTCATCAAATTTTTATTAAATTAATATTCGAGAATTGTTTTTATTCAAAGAACGACGCTTCATATTCTGGATTATTTTCGGAAATCAGTGTTAGTTTGTGGTCAATATCCCAGTGTAGGTCATCAATGGCCGTCCATCGAGACTCTAACGATCGTAAAATGTCCTCAAACTGCCATTTTTCTGTGAGGTTATCCAACTCGATTACTGCCATTTTGTGGGCGGACGCTTTGAAGTTGCTCCTTTGTTTTTGCAACATCTCCTCCAATTCACTTGCTAAACCCCTAGATTCTGTGCTCGGGAATGTGCTGACCTGTACTTGGCCCTGGTATTGGGTACATTTTAGTTTCTACTCTGGGAGAACTAATCAGCGTCGTAAGTTTAGGGAGAGCTTGTTCGATATGTGCTTTTGTATTGTTGTAGAAGTTTATTGCTTGATCATAATGGTTGCCTATGAAGTATGGTATGTTATTCTTGTCTTCGTACGAACAAAGGCTTGAGTGATTACGGTGAAACTCTTTCCAGTAGTTGTCAAGAGTTTCCACTTTTTTGTCAATGTTGTTGAGCTCACGTGGATGCTGTGTTGACCCGACGTGAATTGATAATGGGCGCACGCGGATGCTGTGGTGACCCGACGTGAATTGTTGATGACGGCAGGCCAGACTGGTAACGCTGGTGCTGCCTGGGTTGTGAAGTACCGTTTCTTTCACTTGTTACTTTCATTTGTTGACGATGAACTCTGACAATCCTCGATGATACTAGGATGCTTCTTTTTAATGTGGTTTAATAACGTGGTCGTATTTCCACTATATTTGTATGAATCTGAACACTGTTTACACATGACACGTCCACTCACTGACGACGATTTGAATACATCCCAAACTAAAGAATTTCATTTAGGACCCGGCATTTTTCAAAAACATAACACATAGCACGCAAAAACTAAAATAATAACCAGTACTTTAAAGATAACATCAAATCTAATGTAATAACGCTTGTTTGCTTGTTAAGAATGAATAAAAATAAATATCAGAAAACGAAATGAATATAGTTTCACTCAAATGATCGACAAACTTCGCTACATGTCGGTTATTAATTATAATAATGGAGGAAAAAAGGATGTGTCTACCACAACATGTCTCAGAATGTATGCCTTGTATTTTCATTATTATATTAGAACCAACCTTGATTCACTGCTCCACAGACTTATCAGGATCAGTGCCTACCTGGCCCAGCAACATCTTTAATGAGTGCTAAAGTTCTTGTGTCACTCTTCCCTGCGGTGTGTTTAACATGTTGGCGATATCGCAATTGTAAAAATGGATAAACTCTGGTTTTCCTGTAACTTCGTTGATGTTAGGTTGATCATGAATTGTGGACAAAAGAAAAATAACTTTTTTTTTTGCTTCACACTTTTGAACATACTTATAAATACTTTTTTACTACCTATTTTACTCTTTCATTGGTTAAAAAATCACTTATTGATTAAAGAGGTTTGTAAATTTATTAGGCCGGAAGCAATAACGATAATGTCATCAAGTTTCCTGAGAAAATTATTATTTATGCAAGCATGTGACTTCAAAAAAGCAATCTCTCGTATGCATCTAATGATTCTCTCTATATGTATTCGCATACTTGCAATTTTTTTGGTCTTTTTCACTTCTTTCTTTAAGAGTTTATTGTCCTATTTTATGCTAGGTGGCCTTATTAATTTACATCCAATGCGAAGTAATAGTGGTTCAATATGCTTAAAACCTCTATCAGCCATTGTTTGTGACACACTAGGTAAACAATTAAGAAAATTACAATTTTCTATCAGACACACATCGCAGATTCTTCCTCCATAACCTTGTGAAATATAATTTACTAGTCCATTTGGTGTACTTGAAATAAGATGTTTTATTCTGACCAAGTTAGTTCTTGGTGTAAGGCTTTTCCTGGTTTTTTGAATTTCTATTTCGAGACTGTCAATTATGCATGTCGTGTTATGATAGTTTTTCCTGAAAGTGGAGTAATTTATCCTTATATTTTGTTTCATTGGGACATAAAGTTTTTTTGGCGTATTGTTGTACTTTTGTATTTATTACAAAAATAGTAGTGCAATAAAGTAAACAAATATTGAATTTTTCGCTTATCCGTCTCCACTCTTCATTTTTCAATTTATTCGTAGTGGCATTTGTCATTTTATTATATATAATTTTACTGCTTTCAATGAACGAAAGCAGTGTTTTCGTCTCCTCCGTAAGAGGCTTGCTTGAGGTCTGGAAATAATAAGAAATTACTATGTAAAGGGTTTACACAAATTAGGCGCGAATTGAAGCGTCTTCACGGGGGAAGTTTATTAAATAAAGTAAAGAAAGTAAGAACATCTTAAATACTTATGGGATTATGTTCAATAAAAGTCTGTCACTGGTTAAATCTACATTTACTAATTATGTTGTATACTTAAATTTACATAATGTCTTACCTACGCCATCCTGTCTCTCTAAAAACTGTCAAATGCGCCCGCGCTCCCTCATTGGCCCTGCGTTTCTACGCGTCATGTGAGAGGGCGCGGATGTCGCATTTTCGATTTCGATTACGACAACCTATCTACCCCCCCCCCCCTCCCCAACGGAGAAAATAAACCCCCTTAACAAAAAAAGGAGGAACTACAAATCAAATGGAGTTTTTATTCGCACCCTTCTACCTGAGCGTGTTGTTAACATATGAGTTTGTGGTTCGGAGGTGGGTGATGAAGTTTCGCAGTATGCCGGTTTCAAACGATCCAAGCTAACATTAATATTTCTATTACCGTAATAATAGTTTTATTATGCCTATCGATCACATTAAATGGCCCCGTTTAAGGTGGCTTAAGGGATGGTCGTACCGAATCATCTCTTAAAAATACGTGAGACGAAGAGGCTAGATCTATCTAGATACGAAATTAGATCGGTTCCCATGGCGCGATGCAGGCATAGGCCGCAATTGGGCCATGTAGCGACTAAGTTGAGTCGCAAGATTCGTATCATCTACATCTACATGGTCTGAAGGCAGTGGAGTGACAATAAACTCACCGGGTAGGGACAGTGGTTCCCCGTATACTAAAACGGCGGGAGAAGTCTGCAAATCCTCCTTCAAAGCTGATCGCATGCCAAGGAGCACTACAGGTAAAGCCTTATGCCAAGTTTCTTGATGGCACATCAATGCCGCATTAAGCTGCCGATGCATTCTTTCGACCATGCCGTTTGCGCATGGATGGTAGCTAGTTGTGCGTATTCGTTTCGGAGCACTAATTTTCATTAGGGCCTGAAATAGAGATTGAATTAGAGATCAGTGAAGTAGTGTAAATAACAACATAGTATATGTCGCAGGAAGCTATAAATTGACTGTTGCTTTATGTGTAACAAACGTTATTGTCTTGCGTTTTAATATTGTTTAAGATAATATTATTAATTTAATTCCTTTTTCTCGAAAATAGAAACTCGATGTCATTTGTATTTAGTTCTTTTTAAAATTACAAGTACGTCAACTTGCATACGACCAATGAGAGCTTAGAGGGCGGCGTTTGTAGTGACATGTTGTGGTGCGTGTTGGCAAAGTGGCGAGTCG